ATTAAATATATGTTTGCAAATACAGTTAAAGAAGGAAGGAAGGAGAAATGAGTTTGAACGGCATAAGCTGCAAGCATTGAATCAGCGCCAGAAAATGGTGAGTATTGACAAGTTGTTTGATGACAGCCTTGTTTTACTTATTAATATTGTCTTGCTTGCTTGCTTATCAAGATTAGTCGTACAGGTTATTATTGTTGGGTTAAGAAGTTTAATCACTAGTGCATAACTATGTGGAATATTAATGAATATAGAACGAATGATACCTTCATTATTTAGACACTCTTTAGTGATTAATATTCACTCATGCTCATGCGTGGAACTAAAACAGTGTTCTATGATGAGGTTTTAAAAAGCCAAATGAAAATGAAATCCTCCTTATTGCATTTGTTTTATTTTATGTTCTTGCTACACAACGTGTATAACCATCAATGCTGTTTTTTACTTTTGTAGTTGTCAAGAATGATACTTTTTATAATGAATTGTTATATTTAACAACTATTTTTCTTAGGTCCTCCAGAGGAAGACTGAAGAAGCTGCAATGGCCACCAAAAGGTTAAAGGAGTTGCTTGAAGCTCGTAAATCTTCCAGCCGAGACACTTTGGGTATGATTTGCCTTTAGCAAAGAATATGCTCATTTTTAATGATTTGCAATTTGGCATGTCTTACATGAGACATGGAAAAGTTTATCAGGTCATTTCTGATAGACATATTCTTTTAAAATGCCTTTGAGTATAGGAAATTTCTCTTTTAGTTATGGGGATTTAAGTGCAATAATTCTTCCCTTTTACTGTTATCAAATTCTAATTATATTTCATTTTCCAGTGAACGGAAGTGGAACGAATGGACAGGTAATAAACTTTCATCTCCTTTAATTTGCTTGATTATCTATTCCAGTTATAAAGTAAGTTTGAGTTTATTCTTTAGAGCAATGAGAAGCCCTTACAACGGTGGCTTGATCAAGAGCTGGAAGTCATGGTTAAAGAGCATGAAGTTCGATTTGAATATGAGAAGCAAAGTCAAGTGTATGCAACTTATAACCCTAAATTATTCTTCTTTCTGATTGATCTGTAATATAACTTTTAATATCGTGATATTGCTACAGGCGAGCTGCCCTTGCGGAGGAGTTGGCCATGCTAAAGCAAGTAAACGGGTTTGCTGCCAAGGGTCTCAGTCCTCCAAGAGGAAAGAATGGATTTGCTAGGTCTGATTCTTAAATAAATGTTATTAAATTTAAATCTTTTTGGTTAGTTTTGTAGTTTTTTTGGCTCTTCCAAATGGTAACACATCCAATATAAAAGAACTATTTCTCTCTTCATGGATGTTGTTAACACCTGTCATTATTCTCAGAGCATCCTCCATGCCACCAAATGCAAGAATGGCCAGAATAGCTTCACTTGAGAGCATGTTGAGCATATCATCTAATTCACTTGTGGCAATGGCTTCTCAACTTTCTGAGGCAGAAGAACGCGAAAGGGCCTTCACCAACCGTGGACGCTGGAACCAGCTGCGCTCAATGGGAGAAGCCAAGAATTTGCTTCAATATTTGTTCAATTCTGTTGGAGATGCTAGGTGCTTTGCTTAACCTAAACACTTTCAATATTTTATCTCTCAAAGATGAGAACTGTACATTAGTCAGTGGCCAAAATTTGCATGTTTTTTGTTCACATCTGATTTATCATCAAACACTACGATCAGTAATTCATGTGAAAAAAAAAAACAACAAAAGCCTTTTCCTTCAACGATCAGTAATTCATGTAAAACACTAGAAAATTTTCCATATTATGTCCTCTTCTTTTATTAATGGAATGAAGCAGAGATAGAGGAAGTAAACTCCAAGATGCACATACAAAAAACTTTTAACGGTATACCGTTTATGTGAGTTTTTTCTTTTTGACATGTATATCTGGCTCTGTTATCTTCCTAATTCGATGATTCTCTTACACTAAATATTTACTAGATAGAATGGAAATTATGCCTTTAATTACATGATTCCCTTAGCTCCTGGAATCTTGTTGCTGGTTTGATACTTTGATCTTGATTAACATGATTTTTACAAGATCTTGATAAGCAATAAACTAGCAGGAAAATAGTTGTTTTGAATGGTCTATGGTCTTTTCTCTTTCCTGCTCAGAATATTTGACAAGTGAGGTGTGATTTATTTTACATAAAACTACAAAATGAGTGGAATGTACATGAATATTGGTCAAGTTAAATTACAATATACAATCACTTGTTTTACTGCGTTCCATATGACAATCTTTTCTATACTGTGGAAAATTGAAGTGTTAGATGCTAACTACAGGTGCCAACTGTGGGAGAAGGACACTGAGATCAGGGAAATGAAAGATCAAATCAAAGAACTTGTAGGTCTATTACGGCAAAGTGAAATCAAGAGAAAGGAAGCTGAGAAGGAACTAAGAGTGAGAGAGCAAGCTATTGCCACATTGGCTACGCCAATTTCTGTAAGATCTTATCTACTTAAGATTCATGCTAAAAACAACTAAGAATTTAAAAAATAAAAATAGCTGTAGTGCTGCTGCTGAAAAGGTCAGATTTGTGGCTTGTTTTAGACAGAAGTTAGGCTTGTAAACAGAAGAAATTGGCTGTCTTCTCACTTAAATCATAAAAAGCTTATGGTTCTATGGTTTTATATAGCTTTATAGTGATTATCTCCTTTAATGAGGAATTTGTCTATTATTGTCTTCATGTTATATTTGTGACTGACTTTTGATGGATATCTTTTAATTTTGTGAATCATTGTAATTATCAACAATGCACAACCTTCATTTCAGTTGTTAATTATCATCGCTCTCTGCAAACAGGGAAACTCTCCAAATTCATTGAAACACTGTGCAGACGACACAAAGGAACATTTATCTCCGGAATCTGTGCCAGTACAAAAACAGCGCAAATATATGCCGGGCATCACTAATGGCCAAGTGAAGGAATCAGCAACCTTTATAGATCAGAGTAGAAGGGTATTTATTCTCCATTTATGTTAAATTTATACTCATTTTCATTGGGCTTCGATGGAGATTTGCTGTCAATGCAGATGGTACCCATCGGGCAGCTGTCAATGAAAAAACTAGCAATTGTAGGACAAAGTTCTGGCAAGCTATGGAGGTGGAAAAGAAGCCACCATCAGTGGCTACTGCAATTCAAATGGAAGTGGCAGAAGCCATGGAGACTTTCTGAATTGATTCGACACAGCGATGAGACAATCATGAGAGCAAGGCCACGTCCACAGGCTTTGCCATATGTCATGTGAATCTGAATGCTGTGGTGATCATCCATTTGCTGTTGGCTCAGTTCATTTTTTAACCTACAAGAATAATCCTAGACATAAGGCATTGGAAAAAACCAAAATCTAGGTGCAGGTAATTACCTTCTATATTTATTTTACACAACATCTTCAAACCAACACCTGTGCTGTCCAACCTTTTGAAATCATATTCTTCCTTTTCCGTCGTTTGATATGTATCTTTATCCACCCGTGTATTTAATTTATCTGTTGGTTAATTTTATGCTAATTATTATGTAAGACTTAGTTGTAACTAAACAAAAAAATTCTGTTTCTTTTACCAGATAAAGATGCATTGATCTGACATTACTTGTTTCTAGTTTCAGGGTAATAATTAATGGGTTGCTGACAATAACATTATACATACTACCCCGAATGTTGGAAATGTATCCGTTGTTTGCTGCGTATGGAGCATCTTGTAAGGTGTGTAAAAATGTTGCCGAAGGCTTCCCAAATAATCAAGAGTAGGAGATAGTGGCTTGCTTGGAGGCATTTGCGAAGATCTTGCCATACAAATTATCTTGGAATATTGTGTGTATACCAACACTGAAAGGGGAGAAAAAGAAATATTCTTTTGTCGAGTCTTGGAAATGTGCATTGAGGGTCTTCTGTTTCTTACTTGTAACCGTGTTTGTCAGGCGTTGATTTTTTGTTGATAAATATACTGTAGTCTTCCCTCTGTCACAAAGCAACAGAAGGAAATTCTTCTGTTTTACCTGTAGGTCTTGTGTGTAAAGAACATTAACTATATTGAAAGAGATTGTAATTTACCATACCAGAGTTTGTAGCAAGGAAATTTTTAATCAGTTTTCACCTCTTTTAATCATTCGTATATCCCAGGCAATATATTTATTTTGTACTGCACGTTGAATACTCGTTTACAAAAACTTATTTACAGCATATCCATCTTGTAACATGTTTTAGCTTCTAAATTTTACTGCCATCAAAATCCATGCAGAAGTGATATTGAATCTTTCGAGCCATGACGAAGAGCAGTCAAACCAAAATAGTGCAGCAACCTGACCAAGGGTACATGTGTGTAAAAACAAATTTGCTGTAGAAAGAGTCTAACACATACATAAGTTTATCCATTCTAGGCCAAGTGCGGATTTGTTTTTAATACTACTCCAACCAAAATATCTTGAAAGTATCTTGTGTATATATAAATCCATAACTATCTTTTGTTTTACTCGAAATGAGACTTTTATCTGTATCCTAACATTTGTTATATAAACAACTCTTCTCTGGTTAAAAAAATCTTTTCAATTAACTTTGTAATGGAGAGATTTTGGACTGGGGTCAATTTTTTAGAAGGAAAACCTCTTTCTGGTGGCATTGTGTGTGCGCAAGCAATATGATGAATACTCGAGTAATTCAAACAACTAATATTGCACAAAAATAAATCACTACAAGAGAAGTTGTTTGTAAGTAACTGCACATGAAAAATCAGTACATAAAAAAATACTTTAATTGATGTTCATTTATACAACTGCTAAGAGATTTGTCCCAATAGATTTACTGGTCTTTAAACAATGCTGCCCTTGTTTGGACGCTCTTGGAGATTTTCCTATAAGAGTTAACCAATTAAACTATCTTAATTCAAGAGAATATTTGGCATAAAGGATAGGCATCGTAATCAATATCATTACTCTTAAGATGTAATGGCTTTTGATTTATTTATGTCCAAGACAATGTCAAGGAAATGGTGAAAACAAATTACCCTGTCCATATTTTTGTGAATCATTGTGCAGGTAAAACAAAGTATTATTTTTGCTATTATTACTCGAACATACAACTCAAAGTGAACGCAAAAAATATATAGTAAAGATTACATAAGGTACTGTTGGGCCAAACAGTAATAGTAAACACATCGGAGTCAACATAGACATCCCAAGCTTACTGAAGACAACTCTGTATGGGTATGGTTCACAGCATTGAAGTCTTCAAAGGACACAGTTTAAGGCACTCCACTCAGAAGTTCGTTCATTCCACCGGTTCCATCTTAAAGATGCACAAAAAAAGTTGCATCAACATGGCAGACGGGTAACCAATCTTATACCACCACAGCACCAAGAGATCAACAACACCAGTATGCATAATGCTCATCTTTGCGATGGTTACTAACAAGGCCTCCACATTTCAAACAAATGAAGCTGCTTCCATCAGAAACTGCATCCAACACTACTTGCATCCTGCCACTTTCTGCCAGTATGGAAGTCCCATGAGCATCTGGGTCTGGAGTCATTGATGGGCTGGTCCTGTTATTAGCAGGTGCTTCAATCACTACAGGTTGAGCTTCAGCAATAGCACACTCCGCAAACAAAGAAGCCAGTTTATCAACTGCAGCATTCTCTTGCAGTCTACTTCTGTACAACTCTCTAGCACGATGCAGGGACTCAAAAACAGCTTCATCACCACCTCTACTCCTCATGGCTGCAACAACCTGTTCCAGTTATAGGTCAATATCAACCACCAAAAGGATGCGTAGATTTAAGGAGTGTTTGATTCGTTTTCTGTTTTTCACTTACAGTTCATATATTTTCATTATTTTTACAATGATATTACATTGTTATCATTTTGTTTCAAGTTCTCTAAATTTTACAGGAAAGTGGGAAAACATGTTTGTCATTTTCACTATTTCCTTTATGCAACTATGAAAATAGTAAACAAAATGAAAACCGACGGAACATTTTATAGTTACAGTGAAACAGACATGACAAAACCTAACACCCTCAACTATTGAAATCGGATAACAACCAAACACCATTTTAGATGTTGGCTCTTTTTTTCACACTTGGCAAGTATACAGCACTTTCTACGAGCATGATTCAAGTTTCACACGTCACAGGCAAATTCTCTATGCATATGGAATCCTTGAATGGTTGATATCACATCACTTTTATTATCTAAGTTTTAGAGACATCGGAATCAAAGATAAAACTTTCATATGTCACCAAGACATCATAATATTGAAAACTTGATCTGTGTTTGTTTGATCATGCATCGATGAAAATATGACCTACACATTTTAAGAGAAGCGACATGGACCGTCCTAAAAGTTTGGTAAGGTAAAAACTCGAAAGATTAGGAAATGGAGAGGAAATTTTCTCATTAAGAAAAGCCACGAATTCATTAAATACTCTAAACTGTAACAAGAACTCCAATTTGATGATGCAAGCAAAGAAATTTTTAAAAGATATGAATTATGTTTCTGGTCAACGTACCTCACATAAATCATGTTAATGGATATTTGGGTGATGTAAACTTAGCATTTTAGGGTAAATTGGGAGTCGTGAGAGGAAATAAGAAGGAAGAATCTACCCAAACTGAAGGGAGAAGCGAAACGGAGAAAGATTAAGTTTTCATTAACACTAGTCTTTTTCAATATACAAGAATGTGTAAGGTCCATGCAGAAGTCCAGGAGGAGAGTAACTAACATACACAACTGAGTGAAAAACTTTTCATAAACTGGGTCAATATGACTTCGACACTCAAAACTTAAGATTTGATTTTAAGATAAAATCTAACACACCCTACAGCAAAACTTTCAACAGTTTTGACACACAAGAAAAGTGAGTTATCCCTGTATCAAATTTCAAAGCCCCTCCAAATGCATGATGCAACAAATATAAATACAATAACCAGTAATTTACAGGTCTCGGGTGCTAAACTTCGCACCAAACTACCACTTCGCAGCAAATTGTAAAATGTGAATTCAAATAGAGACTATCTTATTGGAAAACACCAGCTTATAAAATATCCCTAATTTTTTCCACCCCAGAAAAAAATTCACTAATTTTTCTCAATTAGATTCATTTAGCAGCTTATAAAACAGTAATTCATTCCACGGGAAGTTTTCTTTCCAACCCTAAAGCCTGTTTTTTCAGACTCAATTTAAATACGAAGAACATTTACCGCACAGAACACAGATTAACAAAGAAAAGAATCAAAGATGAAATCTTCAAAGTGAAGAATGCAAAAGAAGATACAGAATGGAAGAAAAATTGAAAAAGAAGAGAAAGAGAAGAAAACATTACAGCTTGGAGGGCCTCGGAAGGTTTGCCTTGAGTGATGAGTTGGCGAGCCAATGTGAGCAAATCCCGAACGACGTCGTTTTGGCCGGAACTGAATGCTTGCTGCGAAGATGACAGCGATGAAGCTGCTTCCGCTTCCATCATTTCCGAATCCATCTTATGATTTTTTCTTTCTTTACTCTGTATCTTCAATAATATTACAATTACTATTATTCTGTGTCTCTGTCAGTTTGATTCTAAATTCTTACAGAAAGAACTATTAATATTTCATTTCTAATGAAATTGTCGGTTTTGAAACTTTTCTTCGCAAATTGGGGCATAGAATTGATTGTGTGATGAGAATGAATTGTGAATACGAGAAGCAACTGAAGAACTTGTAAATACGGTGCTAGTTACTTCTAGCACTTTCTGCTGCTCTGTATATTTCTCGCAACTCGCAACGACAAGAAGCATATTTATGATGTCATCTTTTATTCGGGTTTTATTTGGGTTTGGCCCAGTCCTAGGTTAGGCCGAAAAGTTTACTCACTTCCGATTCGGACCCTTTCTTATTACACCTCCTTCTTTTTTTGGTTATTACTTTCTACACCCAACAATTAGTAACTGCATTTACAAAACAATAGCAAAAGACTAAAACAACCTTTACCACATCACACCACTTTTATCATCACATTGCTACAAAGGAAGAAGAAGATAGAAAATGCAGCATAAAACTCATTATAGAAAACTCTTTCCACAATGTATTTCATGTATTCCAAAAACCTCTTTTCCAAACACATTTGATATTTCGAAAAAGTCATTCTGAAATATATGTATTATGAAGACAATTTTATTATAAAAATTCTGTTTTGAAATTTTTTAACAAAACCCCATTATGAAAATCTTATTTCGAAATCTGGAAATCGAAAAAATTGTGGATGTGCAGAAAGTAAAAGTCCTTTATTTTCCAAGTACCTTCTTTGCTTTCTTTTCTGGTTACCTCTTTCGTAACAAAAATGCTTTTATTTTGTAATGCATTTCTGTACTTTATTTTACAAATTTAAGTTATTATGTTTATAATAATATATTATTTAATTTTATAATAAATTAGTTTAATTGTCAAAAATAGATTAAATATTTAAAATGCATTATTTATATTAACGAAAATTAATAATTATAAAAATTAAGTTAACTGATTTTATTAAATTTTTGTATAAAACTTGTATAAATAACCATAAAAATTATACATAAATTTAAATATAATTATAAAATAATAAAAGATATATATATATATATAATCAGATATGATTCGCATTTATATTTAAAACAAAATTTGGACATCATATATATATATATATAATCGGATATGCATAATAGACACGGTAAACTTTTTTTTTAATCTAAATTATTTTTATTAATTTTAATAAATTAATATAAATTAATTTATATTAATTAAAAATTATATTATTACGTTATAAACTCATAAAAAATCATACAGAATTTTAAAAATAATTATAAATTAATAAAATAATTAAATAAGTAATATAATTTAACTTTTATATAACATATTAAACTTTAATTGGATTTTGAGATCCCAAAATGTAGGCATCGACATTCACATCCAATTTATATAGGTTTTGCTTTTCATATGTGATAGGTTCATCTTAGCTTATTTTTATTAAAAAAACAATTTTATTATATGTGATAGGCTCATCTAAGCTTATTTTTATTAAAAAAACAATTTTATTGATTCTAATAAATTCATAGAAAATAATTTATATTAAATAAAAATGATATAATACATTATAAACTCATAAAAAATCATACATAATTTTAAAAATAATTATAAACTAATAAAAAAATTAAATAAATAATATAATTTAACTTTTATATAACATATTAAAATTGGATTTTGACATCTGAAATTGTAGACGTCGAATATCTACATCATATTTATATAGATTCAGCATTTCATATATGATAGCTTCATCTAAGCTTATTTTTATTAAATAACAGTTTTATTAATTTTAAAAAATGCATAGAAATTAATTTATATTAATTAAAAGTTATATAAAACATTATAAACTCATACATAAAATTAAAAAAATTAAAACTAATATAACAATTAACTAATGCATACATAAAGAATATAATTTAAACATGACTGAGATAAAATCTCAAAAGTCAATCGGATTTTCATATTCGAAGCTCCTTACATCGAATGTCCACATCCGAGTTGTCTAACATCGAATCTCAATAGCCGATGTGTTTATTTTTGAATTTTCATATCCAATTCATGTTCATTGCATGCAGATTAACAAACATAAAATACTAACCTTTCTCCAACAATTTCAATGCAACCAGCAACAACAAATACTCCAACGCACCACCATGAACCACTAAGAGTACAAGAAGATGCACTCCAAGGCACCACCACAAACCAGCAAGAGTACTAGAACAAGCGCTCCAACGAACCACCACAAAACACTCCAAGAATACCACCACAAAGCAAGTCAAGCTTCCTATATGTACCACTCCAAGCTGCACTGGAACATTAACAAACCCTCTCAAATATCTTTAATTTTGAACACCACACTCATTTGATATGAGCGGCAAAGAAAAATACTCAAGAGGAAAAATTATTATGAGACGTGCAATTCAAATGAGGTGCTGGGGTGTAGAGTTTATTAACAAAATGAAATGAGTGATTCTTCCTACACCTCACTACCTTCATCCTGCACCTCCAATTTTACTTTTTTACCCTTCATTTAATAAAAAGTCAAAACTTAATTAATCTAATGTTTCCTAACCGCACTTCGAATTTCCTAGTCGTCGCACGTCGAAGTGCGTTTTATATGTTTCTTTAAAGTGCGTTTCTGATATGTGCACGTTTTTCTTTTTTATGCTACGAATTTCAAATAAAAAATATATTACGAAAATAATAATATGTTCAAAAATAAAAAATTCAACAAAATTTAACAAACAAATAAAATAATTCAAAATATATTAAAAGAAAACATTTTATTTAAATACTAACATAAAAAATTAAATTTATTATACTAAGCTAATCAAAATAAAACCTAATAAAATAAATATACTAACCTAAGAATTAAAAAACCTTTCAAAATCTATTTGAAATCCGGCAACAACTAACGCACTTCCATGTGCGGTTAGTGTGGCCGCTTTCCGCAGATCGAAATGCGGTTTCTCTCCACCGCACTCCCAACTGCGGAAGTCTGTGACGAACGACGTTTAAGCACCGTGCGTTTAAGCAGTGTGCGGCGAGGAACACGAACTGAATACCCCAACGAAGCACATGCATGTATGACAGGAAACAAAGCAGATGCACGAAGGGTACTAACCAGGACAGACGAACGTTGGCACAAGAGGGAGGGCGGTGGTAGAGGATACGGGGGAGAGAAGAATGGCAGAGGAGGAGGGAGACAAAAAGAGGGAGGAGTGATTTTGAAAGGGGGTGCAGAGTTTGAGTTTGAGATGCGGCAGAGCTTCAGTCAACTATTTAAAAATCAAAAATATTCTCTGACAAGGGTATACTTGGAATTAAAATATATTTTGGAGGTGCAAGACGAAGGCTGTGAGGTGCAGGGAGAATCACTCAAATGAAATGGGGTACAGGGGTAGAAGGGTGCAGGGATGCATGTTTGCTGATAGGAGAAAAAGGGAGATGTAATCAATGAGCACAGAAATTTTCAATAAACAAAAAATTAACAAATAAGTACCTTATTAATTAGGGATATTTTAAGAAATTGTAGGTGTAGACAGAAATTGTTAGTGTAACTCAAATGCATACACAAATTCTATATCACAATTATCACTTTTGGAATTTTACATATTTTTATAATTTAATTGGTGAATTGTAAGTAAAAAATATGTAGGAAACAAAGTAACCAAATTAATTTAAAATTAGAATAAAAAAGAAACATTAGATAGAAAAGTGATGTATTACAGTGTAAGTTGAATACCAAGTGGAAAAGCAAATCCTAAAACTTTTCCCAATCAATAAAAATAAGCATCTCATAAAAGAAAAGTGTTAAGTTATGGTCTTTTTGGGACGGTTCCTTTAATATTTTTGTCTATTTTAAAAAACCATGCTTCTCACCTAACACTTCCACTGCTACTGTGCTGCAGCAAAATCACTTGCACCCCACAAACATACAAACAAACCATAGCCGACTTCTGCATATTGCATCAGAAATGCCCATTTTCAATTGCTTAGAGATAACCCTGGAAACCTTTTCTTAAAAGATTTTATTTTTCTCTAACTTAATACTATAAGACTAATTTGCAATGTAAAAAGTATCTTTATTTATATACTTTTGTTCAATAATGTGATTGGTCTTATGATTCCAACACTATCATTTAAAAAATGGCCGAAACTGAATGAGGTTTACTGATGCCGATGTCAAGTAGTACACAAACATAATCCACTCTCATCTTTGTCACATTTCATATATATAAATATAATTTGGTTTCCCAAGAAATCCCACTTGGGTTATTTGCATGTTTCCGTTGACATTTAAAACCTTAGAAATCCAAGAACAGTGCCTAGTGACAAGGCTGTTTAGATGAATATCACAGAGTTAATAATAAAATTATGCATTGTTGGTCTCTTTTTGAGCTGGAACGCATGGCCATGCATGGCTGAACTACATTCATTACCTATCAATTCCTCATCATGGGAGCAGTTGAGTTAATTTCCCATAGTTTTCTCTTCTTTTTCTTTGTCAAAATGAACAGAAAACTGTCTCAATGTCTGTCTGATCAATCAGTGCTATACAAGATTGCAAAAGTTATGCAGTGTATCAATAAATTAACATTTATTCAGAAACCATACATGAAATGTTGTAATTTCACTGATTTGTCTTTACTTCACTTGCCATGTGAGCTCCTTTTTATGCATCATGAGGGACCAGGCCATTACTTATGTTATCATCAATTGGAAAGAAGAAAAAAGCAAGATAGTGTGGTAGCTGAGAAAAACAAATGTGACTTTGTCTGACAAACAATTGCTTATCCCTGCATTAACACAAATTCTAGGACCATATGTGCTTTGGAAAAAGCCCCTTTCTATGGAAATTTAGATTCTCTGCTTTTACTGTTGATGGAGCACCTTTTCTTAGTTTCTGAAATTGTCTCTACTGTCAAATTTCATCCCTAACGGTATAAGAATAAAATCAGAAATCAAGTTGATCCTGATCTTAGATACCAAATTGATTGATAGCCTTCAAATGCAGAAATGCAGAAATTATTTGAACATGGATTGAGCATCACAAAGTCGAGTTACAAAATAAGAATTGCAACCCAAATGCCTTAAGCATCTAAGGAATGGGATTTTGAAAAGGAAGCTTACAAGGGATGAGGCTATAAAGCCAGATGAAGGGACACATCCTTGGTGTTGCAAAGAACTCAGCACACTCAAACACTGATCTCTGAAAGGGAAGATCAGGAATACAATTGTTGCTAACATCAAGAACCCCTCTCTGAATCAGCATCCTACAGAATGGCCCCACATGTGTGAAATAGTTATCTGATAATGAAAAGTTGACCAAATTCACCAACCCTGCACACACCACTTCTGGCACCATGCCATACAAAAGATTACCACCCAAATTGAGCACCTCCACCTTCTGCAGACAGCTCAAAGATAAAGGCAAAGGGCCTGTCAATTGGTTGTTCCCAGCATCAAACACTGTGGACTCTTGAAGAAAACCAATCTCATAAGGCAAACAACCTGTTAACTGGTTGTTAAGTAGTAACACTTCACTTAGAGAGGCCAAAGCCTTGGGAAGACTTCTTGGGATTGGACCCATGAACTTGTTGTTTGCTAAGGTGAGTAAGAGAATCTGAGTGGTGGCTAAGTTATCAGGCAACCCTTGAGTGAAGATGTTGTTGTTTATGAAAAGGACTTGGAGGTTCTGTATGAATATCTGTGGTGGCACTGCCCCAGAGAAAAAGTTGAACCTCAAGTCCAAGAATGTTAAACCAGTCATGCCCAGGACAGCAGAGGGAAATGGACCAGATAACTGATTGTTGCTAACATCAAGCTCATATAGGTAAGGGAGTTTGGCTATTTGGGGTGAGATTGTGCCACCAAAACTGTTGGAATTGGCATGGAAGAGAGCAATATCAGGGAGGTTATCAATGAAGCCATCAAGGGTGGAAGCAGCAAGCTGAAAACCATTGAAGTCAACAGAGGCCAAAGCAGTGGCAGAAGTGTTGTCAGGAGGAGTGTCACAGTAGAAGCCTCTGTAGCTGCATATGTCTGATCCAACCCAAGTGTTGGTCACCCCCAGAGGATCAGAAGTGATGGAAGATTTGAACTTTTGGATTACTGGATACACTACTTGAAGTCTTTGGTCTGCAAAAACAAGAGGGGGTGAAGCTGGAACTGCTTGAATGGTAGTAGATTTTTTACATGGGGTGGTGTTGCTGTGGTTGCAACCTTTGGCTGAGCCACCACCACCACCAGTACCTTTGCTCCTGTGGCCACTGCTACTACTTCTGAGATTCTTTGTGTCTGTGTTAACATGATGTGGTGACATGTACACAGGAAGAGACACCAGGAAGATGTACAAAATTGTGACCAACAATTTTGCAGGCATGCTACTCATGTTGTCTGCTTTCTCCTCAACTCTACACACTTTGTTTGGTTTTGAAGCAAAGTAGGCAGAAAGAGGTGCAGCTTATATTAGGACAACTTTCATCAAACACTTAATGCTCAATAAGCAAAATCATTGGGCAGATAATAATCCAAACAATTGTGTTTCGTCACATGCTCGTCATATTTCATTCTCACACACCATATTTACGAAATCGATTTATTGTATTACTGATTTATATTTAAAGTAAAACATTTGATTAAATACTCACTCAAATTATGTTATTCCAAATGTTTGATAAGCTATTTAAAAATTATCATTCGAAAAATCATTTTTTTTTTGTATTTCATAACTCTTACGTTCAATTAGGTAAATATCTCAAAGCACATTTATTATTTATTATCACATAAAAATATATTTAAGAAAATAAAAGCAGCGAAGAAACACAAATACGGGGAGCAAACCAAACCTATATTGAATAAACAAATACAGCGAAGAAAAAAAATTATATAATTTTGAACAATGAAACCTATTATAGAAAAAAAAAAGTCTAAACTTAAAGGTAAAGGTAAGATAACATTCTCTATTTGATGAAACTAAAACATTAATTTATATAATAATTATTTTTTTTATAATGATGAGTTTTTTGTTTACATGAATTCAATCCACATAAGATATTAATATCTGTTAGGAGGTAATGGATAAAAAACAATAATACAATAACACAGTCATCACAACAACAATAACATTAAATTCAATGTCTCAATGTTTTGGATTAAAACTCATTCATGTATCAAATTAATTTTTGATATCTCATATATTCATGAGATTACTCTTGTAAATTGTTGCTCAAATATTAATAATTATAAAGTCTTTTTTTAAAACAAATTTTGTATGATCAAAATGCTAACATCATACAAAAGATTTGCTTTTGATTTAATGAAAATAGGATTAGCTATAAATGAAAACAACATAAAAGAAGGTTAAAAAAAAAGATAAATTTCTCTTGAAAAAGTTTGATATTTCAGTAATTTATTTATTTTAATTCCATCAGTAATTAAACTTTTTGAAATTTATGGGTAATTAATTTAAAAAAAAAACAGTACATATGTCAAGAGTTTTTTTTAAAATTATTAATAAAATTAATGATATTTTTAGTCAAATCCGATAAAATATGAGTAAGAAGAAAGAAAATGAGAAAAAATAAAGAAAAGAAAAATTATATATATATATATATATATATATATATATATATATATATATATATATATATATATATATATATATATATATATATATATATATATATATTAATAAAAGTTAACATTAGTACTTATAGGTACCAGTTGTAATACTAATTGAGTTTAGGGATGATTTTTTTTTTGAAATATAGGTATAAACTTAGCTCGTATTACCCATAAGTTAGGTCAAGATTATTTATTATATAAGTTAGGCCAAAACTTTTAAAATTAATTTTTAATTGAAAGACCGTACATTGTGTTATTTAGAAGGTTTTATAAACTTATCCAGTAGCAATAATAATAATAATATAACGATTGTTTTAAAAAACATAAATCTATTTCAATTTATAAACCTATTAACTTTGGTGTAAATTTAAATATATTACTCTATTAAAAAACAATTCTATAAGTTTATCTAAAAGATAACGTTACAACAAAATAAATTAGGTTCAGGTTTTTTAAGTATCTTTACAAATACTAAATCAAATAAATAGATCAAACTCTTACTTCTTAAACTGATATAAAAATATTTCTTTAATTTGTTCCACACATTCTAAACCTTCCTTTGAATTAAACAAAAAAACAAACAAACCTTTCATCTATGGCTCTAAATCTAATTATAAAGAACATTTGGGTCTGTTACTGTTGCACCAATTTCTGTAAGCCCAAATAATTTGGGCTTTCTCTGTCAAAAACCCAATAATCATTTATTGTTATAATTTATCCAAAAAAAAAACGCATTGTTTCATAGGTTTCCTGTGTTTCTTGTTTCAGATGCTTTTGTTTCCTCATCGCACTCCTCTTCATCTTTAACCTAACAATGTCACTTCCAATATCAAAGTTAAGGTTATGTCTTTCTTATTCCATTTCCAAGTTTTCTCCTTTTCTTTCAAACCATTCTTCCTTCTCTTCCTTTCACTTACACTATCACTCTCAGCCTCCTTCACCTGACCATGACAATGTTCACGATGTGGTCTCCCAATTTCTTAGCATGTTTCATATGCGTCCTGTTCCTCCCATTTACCTATTTGGGAAGATTTTGGGATCTCTTACAGGGATGAAACACTATTCTACAACTATTTCCCTTTTTAAGCAAATGGAGTTCAAGGGAATTCAGAGTGATCTTGTCATTCTCAGCATCGTCATCAATTGTTTTTGTCACTTGCATCAAATGACCTTCGCCTTCTCTGTGCTTGCCAAAATTCTCAAACTTGGTTATCATCCCGATGTCGTAACCTTAAGTACCCTCATGAAAGGTCTCTGTCTTAATGGTGAGGTTAAGAAAGCTCTTACCTTTCATGACAAGGCAGTAGCACAAGGATTTCTACTTGACGAGGTTAGTTACGGGATTTTGATCAATGGCTTGTGCAAGGTAGGAAAAACCGAAGCTGCCATCAAGTTGCTCACAATAATAGAAGGCCGATTATGCAAGTCTAATGTGGTAATGTACTCCAGTATAATTGATTCTCTGTTCAAAGATAATCTTATAAAAGAGGCTTATGATATGGTTATTAAAATGATGTCAAATAACATCATGCCTAATGTTTATATTTATACTATAATGATAGATGCTTTATGTAAGGAAGGAAAGATAAAAGAAGCTAAGAATGTGCTAGCTGTGATGATAAAAGCTTGTGTGAAACCTGCAATTGTTACCTTTAGCACTTTGATGGATGGGTATATTTTAGTTAACGAGGTGGAAAGTGCTAAACACATATTTAATGCTATGACTCAAATTGGAGTAACTCGTGACGTTTACAGCTACAATATCATGATTAATGGATTATGTAAGAGTAAAAGAGTGGATGAGGCCATGAAACTCTTTCAGAAAATGCATAAGAGGAACATGGTTCCTGATAGAGTGACTTACACTACTCTTATAGATGGGTTATGCAAATCTGGAAGAATAACTTATGTTTGGGATCTTATGAATGAGATGCATGATAGAAATCAGCAACCAAATGTAATCACTTACAGTTGCTTGATAGATGGTTTATGCAAAAACTATCATCTAGACAAGGCATTTGAATTAATCAGGACAATGATGGAAAAGAGAATTCAACCAAATTTGTACACCTGGAACATACTTATTGATGGAATGTGCAAAGGAGGAAGACTTGAGGAGGCACAAGAGACCTTTCAAGATCTTTTAATGAAAGGGTACCGTTTAAATGTATATTGTTATAATACTATGATCAATGGTCTTTGTAAAAAGGGTTTGATTGATGATGCATTAACCTTATGGTCCAAAATGGAAGACAATGGTTGCTTACCTGATGCAATAACTTACGAAATAATGATCAGGGCTCTCTTTGAAAAGGATGAGTTTGATAAGGCAGAGACATTTGTTCGTGAAATGATATTTAGAGGCTTGTTGACATGATAAAAGGTGAAACCTCATCTCTGTATTTGCTATATAATGTACTTGAATGATTGCTATATGTTGTATCTGTTTGACGGGAGAAGTGTGACAGTTCTGCAGTTGATGCCTGTCTTGCTAACGTGAAGAGTTGAAATTTTTTTATTTTACGTCCTACATTTTCATTGCATGTAACTTCTGTGTGTTTTTTTTTTTTTTGCTTTTTTGCATTGCATTGTCTGTCAAGAACCAAACCTTGACCTCCCTCCATAAATTCTAATGGATTTTTTTTTCCAACTTCATTTAACTTTCTAGAGGTTCTCTACCACTTAACCTAATTGAGGAAGTGTACTATCATACTATATTACCTTATTGATATTGATATAATTCATTACAAGTCTCAAATTGTGTAAATAAGCTTCAATCCATTGAAATGAGGGCACACTGGTAAATCGATGTAATTGAAGTTTTGAATATTTTGTTATCAAGTTGTAGCTAGGGCTGGACATAGTTAACTTAAAAATCCTAAACTATAGTTTATCTATACTATTTTATACTTAAAAAACTTAAAATATTTTTACTAAAAACTAATTATACTATTTAATAATTCAGTTTAAAAATACTGCACTCATTCTATTTTAGATGGGGTAATAAACGAAGAGGGAGAAAGATGGAGTGGAATGGGAGTGAGTAGAAATGATATTAAATAGCCAAAGGGAGAGCAGAATTATTTGTTTTTTGGTAAAGGGAGAGTAGCATTGGCAGCATATTTTTTTCAATGGAGAGCAGTATTCACAACATTTTTTATTTATAGAAGAGAGGCAGTCATGACTCAGTAGTTTTTAGGCTTTTATTTGTTTGGTGTTACTTGATGGTTTTTAGGCAATGGAGTGAGCTGGGTTAAGTAATTAGGCTTTGAAGGAAAAAATGGGCTTAAATTTTGGGATTATATTGTGACTGCCAAGCTTTTAAATTGGTATAAAACAAGTTCACATAAATCTTATAGGAGAAAAGTTTCTTAACTTTAACTGTTGCATTGACTTTGTTTAAAAACAATAAAGTTACATTAGTACTTCAATGCTTTTTTCTCTGTTTTTCTTATATTTGCAGACATTTTCATTTATGAAGTAATATTTAGAAGTATTATAATTAACTGAAAATAGTAGAAGCACTGAGATTTGAATGTGCATTTGGTTTGGTTTTTGTTGAAAGTTGAATTGAATAATGAAGGTAGGAGAGTTTGCTGAGAGTTATCTCATATATAATAGAATGCAGAGCAGATTATAATTAGTGCAGCACTCTGCAGAATTAAATGAAGTCAAAGGGGAGTAATGAGATGAAACAATGATAATATGAAAATGGTGTGGGCTACATAGGAGATAGAGAGATGTAGTGTAACAGATTGGAAGTTATATATAGTGTTAATGTGTGTTAGTGTGTATGAAAAGAATGGTAAGTCTGCATGGTGGTGGACTGAACAATTTATAGTAATTGAGCAACATCAGAATTGTATTAAAAGATGAATTTTTGTAGGATCTTTTTTGTCTTTTCTTTATTTTGTTGTTACCTATGTATTGTTCCTTTATTTTGGAATCAATGTCCACGGTGCTTTCTTGTTTATAAATTTTAGATATATTACAATATATGATATACAGATTTAATGAAACTTGCAGAGGAGGGATTTTGTTTACTGAACACATCAGATTGAGCCACTCACACTCTTACAATTTACAAGGCTGGAGTAGAGTAATATCCTTTCTCATTTTTCATGTGTTATTTATTTCATGGTTTGCTTGCAAATTTCTTAATCGGAAAAGTTTGCAGTGAATTTTGTGAAGTATGATATAATTTCCTTTGTGAACATTAAAAGTTTAACTTGAACTTCTACTAGCTTCACATCCCAATTTATCTGCTTCATGATACATATCTTCTAGGCGAAGTCCTTAATGAGTGAAAACATATAAGCTAAGGTGCTCTTTGAGACTTTACATTTATTCTGATTTCTACTGATGAATACTTGGCATAGGTGGTGATGCATTGGAATCTCTGGTGCTGCATTCTTTTGGTATTGGATGAAGTTGATGAATTCTTGTCTTTCAATTCCCGGAAAGACATGCATTGGATATTGGAGCGTGTAGGGAGGAGATCCAGTGCAGACCCAAGCTCAAATTCATTATGCACACCGGGCTGGCCGAACTGGTAAGCTTGGTAGGAATGGTAGAGTGCTAACCATATGTGAAGAGCCAGAAGTGTTTGTTGTGAAGAAATTGCAGAAGCAGTTGGGAATTCCATTTGCATCCTGTGATATTTCGGATGGGAAACTACTTGTCACTGAAGAAGAGAAAACAGTAAAAACTTCTATAAGTTGAGGTGTTATATTTTACAACTTATTTAGTCAACGATGTAGTTTCCATGTTCCATGTTTAATTCTTCATATTTCTTCTTGTCTATTTTACTTATTGAGAACTTATACATGAGTGAACACCAAAAGCTTCCTGCTATTTTACATTTGAAGTTGAATATACTGATAAGTGATAAGGGTAGCTAATATTTGTTTCACAGAACCACTTATTGATTCAATTAGTTATCTCTCTATTGGACATAGATTTTTTGCTTTTATGTTTATGAACAACTTAGTCACATTACATTTTGAAAACATGATTTCTATAAAATCAGTAGTATAGCATTCAAATAACATAACCTTTTTGCAGAAAAGGCAATATAATCAGATTGAACAGGATGGGGGACTTCAGGAGGGGTTTAATCAGCAATGCCCTCGTGATGGACTTGCAATTGAGGATCCAAAGTCAGGGGAATTCATGAGTTTGATCCATCCAGACCATTGTGCGGGCCTTCTGTTTTTGATGCAAACTCCATTAACCTGTTGCAGCTAGCTGAAATTATTAGGGGGCTTAATGAAGAAGAGTGTCGGTTTCTGATTGAGGCAAGAGGAGTGTAGTCTGATTTGGAACTGCAAAATCAATTTAATGCTGCCATGGCTGAGGTGGAAGCTCTTTCTGCCAGAGTGGTTGAGCTGCAGAATAATTGACATGTCTCAAAAAGAATTACTGGAATTATCCAAAGAGTTGGCTGACTGCAGAGGCTTGATCTCAAGTTTACAGGTGGAAAAGAAGGGCATGAATGAAACTCTTGATTTGACAACTGATGAGAAAAGTATAAACTTTTGGAGGAGAAGGAATCTCATCTATTTGAAATTAAGAATCTGGTGTCTGAATTAGCTGCCTTAAAGAGTTCGATGGAAGGAGTAAAACTTGAGAAGTCCAACTTAGTTGACAGGATCTCTCTTCTGTGACCGAAGATAGGAATAAGATTGAAGGAGAAATCGATCATCTCAAACATGAAATTGATAGGCTGTCATTAGACTTGGTTGAGAGTAAAGATTTGGTGGCAAGTTTACTGGCAGAAAATTCCAACTTAAATGGAAACCTTGCATTTTCAGGTGATAGATCATACAAAGTTTTCTTATGAACTGTAGTGTATTATAAGTGAACTAAAAAATAGTTTAATTCAGTTATTTTGAACTATATTTTAGTTCAGTTTAGTTTTTCTGAACTGTTTTATAGTTAACTATAATTTTTTTTTAGTATAGTGTACTTTGCTCATCCCTAGTTGTAGCATATGCCATTACACTTTCTGGTTTTTGCTGCAGGATCCAGTCTCTTGAATATTTTACCCTGAACTTCTTCAACAAATCCTACAGTATCACACCATCCTTCGTGTGTGTATGATTACAAAATAGTTGAGTTGTTATCACTTTATTAAGTTATGAGGTGCCTCCAATTGATAGTTTCATAAGAAAACTGCAATTAAACTAACATTGTATCATAAAAAACAGTAAACGGTGGCATTTTAAAGAGATACAGTTCTTTGTGGGATTATCATCTGCGTAAGTATGAAATTGTCTGCTACGTTACTGTCTCATACATTTCAGATATGTTTTTTTTATGCTTCTTGCATATATAGTTTACCTCTATTATGATTGCCTATATGTTGCTGTCTTATAATAATTAAAGTAATGTTTAAAAAGTTAACACTCATGTGAAATATAGAATATAAAAATTGTTACTCCGTTAATGTATCATGGTTAAATTAGGTCCATTATTTTTGGCTAATATATATTCATTTATTATTTTATCTAATCTCACTTTTTTAAATAATATAATTTAATGTTTGTCTTTTTTCAAATTTAATCATTTTGTTAATAATCCCTTATTTGTTCTTCTGTTTTGTTATTTAGACTCTCATCATAACTTGATGGAAAAAAAATCTAGCAAAAATATATATATTTCAAATATTAAATAATAAACATTTTATAATTTGGCAACAAGAAGGAGATATCAATGACCAAACACACAACTTAGCTAAGATAAATAAATAAATAAATAATAAAGTCTTTATTTTATCAGTATTTAACGTTACGATTTAATTGGACTAAAAGGCTAAACGAACCTAAATGATGTCAAAATTCATTAACCTAATTTATCTTAAATTTTAGTTTTTTTTATATATAAATGATTAAAAAACAGGCTGGTATCTGCTAAATTCATATGAAATGTTCAAAAAGAAAAATGTCCATTCTGATGAGCTGGACTGAAAAAACTATAGAAATTGAAAACGATAGTGATGTGTATTTTAAATTATTATATTAAAAATATAAAATTTATAACCACTTATATAAGTAATTAAAAAATTTAAATAAAGTAGAAGAAATATTCTTCGTAATATTAAAATAATTATAAAACTAAATGAGTTAAATTATACATTAATAATAACATTTGGTAGCGCAGCAAAAGTTGAAAATATCGCTGACGTTCCAATCTTTGCTATCACATAGTACATAAAAATTTGTAACTATCAATGTTTTTAATAATGAATGGTTTATAATAGATTATATAATTATCAATAACAAGTTATTAATTAAAATTAATTCGTTAGCGAAATTAAAAATAGGTTGAATACTAAAATGAAAAGGTTTGTTTATATTTTATACGTGATGGTTTTTTATTTTTTATTTAAAAGAAACATTCTGAGATATATTATATAAATGTGATTAAGTTTAATTAATATAAAAGATTGATATTATTTTCATCTCAAATATTTTAACATAATAAGCCTTTAACCTTATATTTTTACATAGAAGACTTTTTCAATTTGATATATTTGCCTTCTTAACAATCATATTTGTTATCTAAGTCAGTTACCAAATGGAATTGGTGACTTTGATATTGTTCATAGATAAAAAAACATCATGATCTAATTTAACTTTCAACTCATAATTCTAAAATAATATTTTATGATTTTTTAATATTTTTTATTTATAGTGAATGTGTAACATAGAAAGAATGAGAACAAAAATATTATATCGAGGAGGAAGTTCACCTGAAAAGATAAACTATCAACTTTTATATCACCGTTGGGTCATCGAATAAGAAGTTCATCAGAACACAATACCAATTAAATATAAGCTCAACCATACAAGGGATTGACACTCTCTATTTAAAACCTTAATCTTTATACAGTGCTTTTGTAACATCCAAAAAATACAACAATATACTATATAGTAGAATGATTACAATTAATAATAATTCAGTCCAGTCTTACACTAGCATGACGTACGCTCATGGCCGAACGGCCTTACAGAGTGAGAGAGTTGTTATATAAAAACAATACATAAGTACGATTATGACCGAACGGTTTATAAAACAGAATACCGAACGGTTTACAAAACAGAATACCGAACGGTCATACATATAAAGATAAGAAAGAGGGAAAAGACCGCCTCAATACAAAACTACCCTACTGACCGAACGTCCTACTGTTCGGTCTTAACTTCAACTTCTACCAAATTCTCTTCTTCCAGCGCCTCTTCCAGGAGCGCGTCTCCTTCTGCTCACATCCACACGGATGATCATTGCAACGACAAGGACGGACGTACAACAAGACATCACAATGAAAACACAGGGTAAGCTTATATAATTTAATTCATGCATCAACATATATTTTAAACAATCCAACACACAATAGAAATTCAACATACGCATCCTACAAAGCCTATCACTAGACTGACCGTCCAGACTGTATGACATCTGTGTAGCTACGACGTTCGTGCACCCGGGTGATGTAGTAACTGGAATACTCTCATCAGCTGCCACCCGAGGTTAATCCTATCTGTCCAAAGTACCCCTAAGGACTAGGACCTCCTGCCGTTCTCACACATGACCTACCCTCCTCTACATGAGGACGAGTACTCATGGAACATCAGGATGAATCGACAGCTTAGCATTACCACAGTCATATTTTACAACTTTCAAATATTTACTCATGAGTCGTTCCTCCCCGGAACGCTTGTTCATATTTCACATTATTTCATCAGTCTCATATACTCTTCATCATTTATTACCCATCATTTTAATTTCATCTATATCACAATTTCTAATAACTTCAAATACCGAACGTTCAGTCCTCACTCAGAACGAGGATTGAACACTAAGAACGAGACCGAGAAGTCGCTCGTTCCATATTAGAATAAGACCAAAAAGGGTTACTAATAGATTTAGGAATAGACCGAGTATAATCATGTACCATATGACGAACGTTATTTATAACGTTAATCAGTTGAATGAACTGACTCTCGTAAGTTCAAACCAATACTCAAAGAATAAATCAAGTACGGGGCTCTAGGCCGGATCCAATGAATGTAGACACGTCAAGACGTTAAAGAACCATATTTAGAATAATTCATATACAGAAACCTAATGCCGGTCAATGACCGAACACGGTAAAGGAGATTCTACTGAAATTGGACGAACACTATTTCATCAAGATTGATTTACTATGAACGTGTACGAGCGCTCGGTATAAGACCGAGCACCACTCATTACAAGAGCTTGTTTTGAGACCGAGCACTGCTAAACTTAAAATAAAAGATTAATAAATAAGATATTATCGGAATTGTGTCTAAGAATAACTACCATATACAAATACATATATATATATATATATATATATATATATATATACCATATCTATGTTTGTCACTGAAAGCTCAGATGCAACTACGCTTGACCGAACGCTCAAGCACAACATTACTACAAGAAGGCGCTCGTCCTCAACTAGAATTCTTTCCAAATGAAAGAATTCAATGTCAAACCAGTTTACTAGAAACACCGAACGGTCAAAGACCGTTCAATGACGAACGTACATTATCATAGGAAAATTTCATATTCAGTACTCGTTTATCTTCAACTCATTTCTCATTACAAAATTTCATAACTTTATAAAAATTCATATCATAATCAATTTGCATACTAATAAATCATATTCCACATAAAATCATATCAACATTCATA